GTCGAGAAATGGCGCGCAGATGACGGGAAACTTGTGAAAATTGACGCCCCCGCCCTTCTATCACCTGCTCCTTTGCCTCTCGTTCCGGCCCTCTGTCTCTCGCGCTGCCTCGTCCGAGAAAGAAATTGCAACCCGCACGTTCATGTGACTCGAGTGACCGATTGAAACTGATAACGGAGAGATAAAGAGAGGAATTAACGAGCGACGAGTCGGCGAACAGACGCGCGGCGATTTATACGCGAGCGAAAAGTCGAGCGAAAAGTGACGGAGATAAGCTGGAAGAATCGGGTTTATGCACTGGAATTCGAAAACCACCCCTTTATTGTTTACCGCCCGAGACATCAGCGTGCAATTACGCGCGAGACCTGATCGCGGAACGTCGAACGTGGAAATTGTTATCGGAATCGTTTCTCGCAACGGCGCGACGGTCCGTGGAGAGATCGATATCGAATATTATGGATATTTTTATCGCCGGAACCAACTGCGTGCCTGCTCCGCCGTCGACGAGGCACCAACGACAAACACAGAAGGGGGGAGTGAGGTTTTCGCCTGTTTCACAGGGAACTTCCTAAAAACGTCAGTCAAGCTCTGAAATTGTCGTGAAATTTCAACCGTTTTCAATCCTTTGACAACGGTATTCGCAATATTTTCTCTCGGCGAGTCGCAGCCACTCAGAGGAGCATGTTACACGGCTCGTTTGCCCGCATTTTCCAGCCATTTTCTCCGTGCCGATCGATATTAAATCTTACATTGCGTTGCTCTCTCGCTGGAAAAAGCTGCCAGCCGCGTTTCAGCGAGCCGAAATTTATATACGATAACGCAACAGCCCGTGCGTCGTCCTGTCGTCGTGAGAGTCTTTTGTCACCTGTTTCTTCGCTGAGATCTTGTTTGCAGGATTCCTCGGGACAACAATACGGAACGAACGTTCCCCTTCAACGTTTCCCCGTACGTTTCCGAAACGTTCGCGTTCAATTCAGTCCGGCTGCATTGCTATAATTAAATTTTTTATCCGGCTCACCTTCGGCTCGCGACTGACGAATTAATTACGCAGTCGACACACGGGATACAAGTGGGTTATTAGTTTCCGGATGAAACTTTTTACGCGTTCACGTGTAAAGAAAAAAATACAGTACAATAAAATTCACATGAAACAGACGAACGAAGGATCCTGAGACTTTCTGGGACCTGCGAAATCCCTAGAAAGAATAAGAGTGCTTGAAGACTATAAATGACACTCGAAAATAAAGACGGAGGTCAATTGGATTCTATGCGAGCTATCGAACGAGCCACAAACCTCGAATTGTACAGGGTGTCCATAAAGTTTCTTTACAATTTCAAAAATTTATTACAAAGGCATTTGACGAGATATCTTCATTAGATTTGTTCCATGTACTCAGTAGTTATGAAGGTTTTTATCACATTGCATTTCAGATATCCTGTTGATGAATAAGATACTGTTAAATGACTCCTTATAAAATGGCTACTCCTCAAGAGAAGGCACAGTGTGTATCATGGTTAATTGAAACCAAATCGGATCTGCAGACTCAGCAAAACTTCAGAACTAAGTATGAAAGAGATTCACCGCCACGTCCATCGATTCGTGCATGGCACAAGAAATTTATGGGGACAGGGACAGTGTTCGATAAAGGGAGGAGTGGACGACCAAGAACGTCCGAGGAAAACATCGATCGTGTAAGAAATCGAGAACCGTCTTGATGTGCTTCGTGCAATAATGGTGCCCATATAAAGATATATTAAATAAGGTAGAGAAAACTAAAATATATACGTCTCATTCTGTAATAATTTCCACTTATCTGTCCTTTCATTTGCCTTTGTAATAAATTTTTGAAATTGTAAAAAGACTTTATGGACACCCTGTATAATTGCATTGTATTTCATTCTTTACAACTGTTCGATTGAAAATGACTGTGACTCGAAGACACAAAGAATTTCGCAGAATCCGAGTGACAGAGGATTGGGTTCAGACGAAACGCAAGTTCTCAAAAGTATTCGCGATACTTGCGAAAATCAATTGTATCGTGCACGACTCTGGGGAAGCGGAGGTAGGAAAATTCTTCCTCCTTCGATTTATCCGCTGTATCCGCGGCGATACGAAAGGGAATAAAAGAGAAATAACCGAGATAACAACAGCCCCGGCGAGCAATGCACTGCCTAATTTACTTTTCACCTATAAAAATTAAGCTCCGAAGGAGATTGCAAAGAGAGGGCGGGTGGGAAAACGGACGAAGCGAGGAAATATCCCGGCCATGGGAACTCCCGGTTAAAAACAGGTGGCCGATGCGCATACGACCATAAAGTCGACTTTTCTTTTTACGCGGTGGAGAGAGAGAGAGAGAGAGAGAGAGAGAGCTCACCCAGCGTGAGATACTCGGCATTGGATGGAGGCTCGCGATTCGAGCAAGCGTTCGCTGGAAACGGCCAACACAGCAACCCCCTCTCGATTCCAACCACCCTCTCCCCCACCTTCCACCCACCTGGCCGTCGCTATACTTCGCAGAAATTGAATTGAATATCGGGCTGCAGGTTCATCGAGCAGTCTTCATCGGAATTTCAAGTCCTTCCCCCGCCCTCCTGCTCTACCACGTTTCCTGGATTATGAATACCAACGATTTTGCGGCGCGGCCGCGAAATCAGGGGGAAAAAAAAACAACGGTCGTACGATGCGAGAACGTACGGACGGGCGAGCCGATTAGAAAAGTGGCGGGCAAAGAATTTCTAGAGGCTGCCGTTTTCTCGCGAGAGTTGTTGCAACGCTGGAAATTGGAATTAGCGATGTCAGCGGGCACGAAGACGACGGAACCAGGCTGGGGGATAAGGGGGGGGGGGGGAAATTAGAATGTTCCAATTAGCCGGTGCGCAACGCGTCGGGAACTAGCCTTTAACAAGGATGGAAAATAATTGGAATAAGAGAGCTCGCCGGCTTTGTACGAATTTCCCGGGAATCGAGCGTGTTCCGCGAACAATTTTCTTTTTTCATTCGCGTCGGGGATGGAACTGTTTGGCTTGTTGCTGATCGTGAGTCGCAACCTCTGTAAACTCGAGGACTAATTGTTGGGAAATAACTTTAATTATAATAAATTTCTTTTATTATAATTAAAATAATAAAAATTAAATTACTATAATTGAGATAATTTTAATTATAGTAATAATATATAATTATAATTATAATAAAGAAATAATAACTCCGAAGTTAGTATTATGATATTATGCTATTATATTGTATAAATATTATAATATTATATCATATTATACTATTATATTGTATAAATATTATAATATTATATTATATTATTATTAACAGTTATACTATAAATTTCTCGATAAATTCGCGTCAAGTTCTGCCGAATCGACTGGACCGCTCATTCATTTCTTGATAGGCACAGTATCACCAGGCTTATATTTATAACAATTACAATTTTTGTAGAAAAAAATCAGATTATTATACTATTACATTACACGATTATATTATTGTAATACATGTTATATAATATTATACTATAATAATATATAACATGTTATATAATATTATACTATAATAATATATAACATGTTATATAATATTATACTATAATAATATATAACATGTTATATAATATTATACTATAATAATATATAACATGTTATATAATATTATACTATAATAATATATAACATGTTATATAATATTATACTATAATAATATATAACATGTTATATAATATTATACTGGTATTATACTATATTGTTATGTTGTACGATTATACTATAAATTTCTCAGAAAATTCGCGTCAAGTTCTCCCGAATCCGTGGCTTGTTCTCGTTCGTTTCTTATGATCGGCGCTCATCGATACATTATCATCAGGCTCGAGTCCTTTCGTCGACAATTTACCCGATCCTCGGCTAGCGTCCCGCTCCTTATGAGATATCGATAGGCTATAAATTTATCGATAATAGTAGCTCTAGGTGCGCCACTCACGGGCGCCAAACTAGAGCTTAATTGCAGCTGAACCCGCGGTAATTGCCGGAGTCGGAGAAGCCGTGCTCGGCAGAAACGAGTACCTCCGGTGGAGGGCGGGGGGAGGGAGAGGAACGAGACTAGGTTATTTCTCTGGAATTACGTGGATCACGATCGTTAAAGAGGCAGATGTCGAGTGTCGATGTTGTTAAAAAGGTACGAGGCGACGCGACGGCCTCGTTTCGATACGAATCACGCGACCCGGCGAAAATTCCAAGCTATCGACAGAAAGAGAGTCAGAGAGACTAGCGTCCTGGCGTCTTTCGCATCAATCTCACGGTTTCTCCTGTTTTCTTCGGCATCGTTTTTATTTCCACGTCGCTTTTATTTCGTTTGTCTCGAAAGTTTCAAACGCTCGTCATTCGAAATTTTATCGAAAGAGCGAAAAGAAAAGAAAAAAAAAAAAAAAAAAAAAANAAAAAAAGAAGAACGAACGACAGGATTACTTTAAACATCGTGCGTTATAAATGCGCCGGGAACATTTCCTTTTTTCTTTTCTATTTTTTATTCTTTGTTGATGCACGCCGGGTGTACCACGGATGTAAAACCTCTTCTACAAAAAAAAAAAAAAAAAGAAAAAAAAATGTTGTCCCTTTCAACTGAAATCTCGCACCGATCGCATCGACGATCAAACGGAATCGTTTCGCGCGATCTGTCTGTCCTTTTAATTTGCGCCCAGTATCCGGATCAGATTTGTCGGATGATGATAAGTCGCGAACAATAGACCAGCGGTTCAATAGAATTTCGTTCCTTTCTTTCTTTCTTTTTTTAAAGCTAGGAACTGTATACTCGGACCAACGGATTCGTCCATTACGTTCGACGGAGATAATAAAACGACAAAACGCGTTTGCGTATTTGCGATCGCGCAACCGCGACTCGCGGTTTGTTTAACCGTGTCGCTGCTGTGTGTCGTCATACAGCGAGAGCGAATTGCTAAACGCGAAACCGAAAATCAAGACACACACACACACACACACACACTTACCTAATTAGTTGCAGCGAACACCGCGGAACACGCGTACCCTATCGTCCTGCCATTCGCGAACCGGCGTTCGATTCGAGCCACGAGCGAAACCACTGCCGAATATTCACCACCGCCGCGCGTGTCCCGAGAAACTTCTCGAACAAACGAGACACCGTGGAGAGCTTCGCGAGAGATCGATGGGAGAGAGAGAGAGCGTGGAGTATCGCGTTCGGCGGCCTCGCCACGGACTGATTTAAATTTAGCATGGGCCAGCCTAAATACACGTCGTTGGGCAACCGTTGACTCGATAGCTCGGCGCGATTCTCCGCGCGCACATCATCACCGCCGTCAAAGTTCGTACGACTGTCTTTCGCGCGGCTATTATCGTTCTATTATCGTTCGCGTTCGTATATTCGCCTCCCATTATCGAATTAACGAGCCACGAAATTACAGAGAGGCGAGTCGCGAGATTCGATTAAAAATTCCCCTTGCTGGAGGCGCGCCAATTATGAAACTATCGCGCGGCCCAAGTGCTTTTAGATGTTAGAACGTAAAATTACCGAGTCATTGAATTATAAATTCAACGCTGGGCTTTACTCCGCGGAACTACGGATACGGGCAAGATACCTTCCCCGAGGAGCGAGGTATTAATTGGACGCCACTCATGGGTGTCTTGCGACCCGCCGTTGTATTTATTTTCGTCGGACCAACGACTTCGGCGGTAGAGGCGAGAGTTTTTAAATAACCTTTGGCTCATCGAAGATCACACAATGAAATTTCCTTTCCAATGATGTGCAACACGATGTATTTCATGTCCGTTTAATCACTGTTTTGTTAACTCTTTGAAGAAATCTGTCAAATTGTTTGTGTATTCTATTTAATATATTTCTTAATTAATTTGCATTGTATATTGATAAAACTTTGAATTTTAATTATTCCATTGAGGCATAAGAGAATGTTACGCAACTCTTACTCTTTGTTTTATTTATGTAAAAATAAATATCAGTATCAAGAGTATAAATATCAGTTTCGTGGCTTTTGCATCAGAATTCTTTATGTTTTTTTATTTCTTGACATCATTCTTAAGGTAGACACGTATGTCAAAAGTAGTCTGTGACTTGATATTTTTAGATTATTGTATTTTTTGCAATCTTGTGCATCTGTGGATAATTGTCCAATAGGAAGCAATGCATTTCTCAATATATCTGCTCAATTAATAAGTAATTTATGAACATGTAGTATCATTCATAGTTGGAAACAAAGTACTTTCCAATTTCCAAGTTATAATATTGAAACTTCTCCGGATTTACGCTACATTGTGGCGATATTATTTGAAAACTGATATAGAATCGTTTCATCCAATTGATACTGAACGCTGTAAAATTTGTTAAAAAGTTTGGTTTACACAATTGGCAGAAAATTGTACCATAAAGTTGTATCGTAGCATTCTGTAATAGTTCTAACTAAACCTAACTCGCATTCATGTTTACCATGTTTCAACAAAGTTCGTCGAAGTATATCTTTCTTTGCAATTGTTAGTATTATTGTAACATAAACAATAATACTAAAGACATTTTGAATTAAATGTTTCATTTTAAATTAATTTTGTCGTCATTAAGGAATATTATACGACTCGCGTGGTAGAAAGTGCAAATGTTCAACCATGTGTTTATTAAAATAACACCTTGAAATTAAATTTCTTGCTTCATTCTATTAATCTTGAACTCTACGCGTTTACCTTGACAATTATGGTTTCGACACCATTATAAAATTGTAAGACAGAAGCAAAACTATTAATCGTAATAGCGTGGGCCGTGTAACAACCAAAAATCGACATCCCGGCACGAAACGTGTGATGATTAATCGGAGTTGTCGAAACGTTATCATCGGAGTCGCGCGAGAGAAAAACGCGCGATGATATTTCACTTTTGAAAGTCCCCCCCCGTTTATTGAACGTGCGAAGCGTACGAAATCGAAAGTAGAACTCGCAAAAATGTAGCACGTACAGCGTGGAAAGGAAAGGCTGAAAAACTGCCAGGGAAAATGGAGTTCCCTTCCGTTTGACAAACGGCGTCAAATAATATCGTGATACAAGAGGCGAATATGGGCGAGAATTTCATTCATTCCGATGAGAACGGCCCCCGATATATCGAGCAGTCGTACGTCTACGCGAACCACGGTCCCCGAGAACCGCATACCCTGAAATGGATTTTACATTTCGTCCAATTTCCCTCGATTCTTACGTCCAACCCTCTCAGGGGGTCGAGCGCCTTCGACAAGCGAGATCTTGACATTTCAGCGCGGCGCGCGCGTGAAAATCAAATTTTTATCGTCAACGAGGTCAAAAAGCTTCGAGTGATATTGATCTCGTGACGAAAGCGCGAGTCCAGTTTCTCCCCTTAATAAGTTTCAAACGTGAAAACGTGTTGGGATCAATGTCTCGAATTGCGGCGAAATTTTGCCAGCACGAGAGTCGAGGGATGGGAAGTCAAGTCAGGCAAGGCGAGGTTTGAACGCGAGGCAGAAGAGAAACACGAGCAGCCCTCGAGACACGAGGAGTCCATCAAGGCCCGCCGAGTGGTTTCGCGCCGCCGAGTGCAATTAACTGGCGATTACGAAGGATTCCCGATGATAAGTCTCATCCGTTCTCCCAGCGAGGCGGCCGGTTCCTCCTTATTTAATCCCGCGACGGGTTAATTGCAATTTCATTGTTCCTCTGGGTCCACGGTGGCTCGACACGCGCTAATTGGCTAATTGCAAAAACAAACATTTTCACACGCGACGCGACATGACGCGACGGCGCGGCACGACGCTGCTCTCGGTGTACGGCCACGACGTGGTCTCAAGTTAATTGCAGGCGTCGACTATTCTATAATTGCTGCGGAGCAGAGTTGCGGGGCACTCAGTGGTAGCCGGGCCGCGTCAAAGTTGAAGTAACTTTGACCCTTTAATAGGGCCGCGCGAGCCTCTGCAGGACGTAATTTAATGAGGATTACGTTGTTAAAAAAAGAGGCTGGCTCTCCTAAGCCGACGGAAGAAACGAGTCCGGCGGAATTCTACGTGACAGAGTAGCCCGCGTGTCAACTTTTAAGTGAAAACTTTCGTAACGCTCCGGAAACCGGTGGGAGGAAGTGCAGTCCCCTCAAAGACGTTTGTTCGCCCCGGCAGCGCCCACTTAAGAGTCCGCCGCTATCCCCACCACTACTCATTCTTGGAAATCATCCCCCACTCTACGCTACTTTACCGCGCGGTCGTACGTGAAAACATGAAACAAAACAGAACAACCGACATACGATACCGACAGTTAGGCACATTATGATTATTTGGGACCAATATTAGGAAAATTTTATTACACAATAAATATCAATTTATATGTATTAATACGATTATAGAATTATACTATTGTAAATTTAATACTGACGAAAATGTAACAAGACCTTTATTCGAAGTTTTTGTTTAATAATTGATAATTATTAATTAACAATTACTTTTGTAGGAACAAAGTCAATAAACTTTCGAGAAATTTAGTTTATCTAAATTATACTTGTATTTATAAAATCTAATAAATTATATCTAATCTAAATTATACTTATACTGATAAAATATACTTATTGTATAATTACACTCATTTGATAATTATTGCTTTATTCAGTTTGAAAGTATATATGTATTAAATTTAAAATAGTTTGAATAAAATATTAAAATGTTAAATTTCTTTTGAATGAAATAATGTAGTAAAGAATACTGGAATTCGCCGCTCATCCCCACTCTTCCTTTCGCCAATTCGACACCACCTCTCTTAAGTGCCCGTTTTCGGCCCCGATTACGGACGTTTAAATAAAGACTGCTGCAGTTGCATTTCAATACAAAAATTTCGCTCTTGGTTGGACAAGACAAGTTCACAGTCCAGTGCTGTGAGATTGCACACATCACTGAATACTCAGAAGCCAAACTCGACAGTACGTGGCCAGTACACAGCCACGTTAGATGCACATCATTGCATAAGTCGTGCGTGACAACATTTTCATCTTCCAACGTTTTCGTCGCTCGTTAAATCGTATGAATCGCGGCGAGATGCACGACAAATGAGGAAACGAGGCCGCGGAATTTTATACGGACACTTTTGCGCCACGTTCATTCCCCAGTCGCTGTTTACCTCGGAATTTACTATTACTTTTGCCCGAGCTCTGCACCAGGTGTCCAAATACTTATGCGCGATCGCGTATCTCGTTTAAAAAGCGTATCAAAGCGACGCATAATTCGCGGCACGTTGTCGCGCGACAGTATGGTCAATTTGCAGCAACAACGACGGTTTTTCCATGCTGCTGCCCCGTAGAGAAGTTTCGCCCCGGGGCCGTAATTTTCACGGTTCTGGTAGTTACCCGGCGCTAACTTTCCGATTGTTTCACAGTGATTCACATTGGTTACCACGAGGGTCGTGGGGGCAGGCCCGTTGAATTGTAAAACTTGGATAGAAATTTTGAGCGCGCCGGTTCCCGCCCTGGGAAAATTAAAGCCCGCAGCGTTATATCACCGGCCGGCTCGCGGAATTCTTGCGCGAAAGTTTTTGCGCCGTAGCAGAAGATTGCGGGGAGCACAACGGAGAGGAGAAGTTTTCCTCCGTTGCGTCGTGTAATTCCGTATGCCGTGGGACAAACGAGCGAGAACAAACCGCGGAGAAACGAAAGTAAATTTGTACGTAGTCCAATGTTCGATTGATCCTTTAGCAATGATGCGACCGCACGGAATCTGCGACTGGCCATCTTTGCTACTATTTATCACGTTAAACAAATATTTTTAGGATACGCTGTATTATTGTGTGAAAAATTGATAAGATTAAACGAAAGCTGGCTAACTGGCGGCCCGCGAGGACTTTGCTAGCGTTACCCCCTCCACTGCATCAATCTCCCCACTACGTTGAAATTTCCTCGCCGTGCATGAGCCCCACTCTCTTACCGTGAGAAGAGATCGACGCAGTGGAAGGGGTAGTGCTAGCTATTAAGAAGGTGGGGGAAGAATTCACGGGCCGCCAGTTAGCCAGCTCTGACCTAATATAAGGATTCTTGTACATTTATTACACAAGGTGAATCACGTAACTCGCACACTTGAAACAAGTTTTAAATTATGCGTCTAATGAAAAATTGTTTAATACAAAAAGTTTTAGGGAGGAAAGTTTTAAGAGAGGAAAAATATGGCGTATCAATTATTCGTATTGAGAAGCTTCGAAATTTCCAAGAAAGAAATTTCATCTTCATTTCTTTTTTTTTTTTTTTTATTTGGACCACATATTTTTTTCATCGTGAATCGAAAGGACATGAAATTCTTATAAATATTAAACCCTCCAACAATCAACA